TTGCCAATACAACAAGTAATGAAGTGCAGCTAAACACTTAGGCAAGTCAGCTCATTTTTATGATTGGAAGTTGCATGGGAACCATGAGAATTCTACAATTTGTAGATACCTTTTCCTTTAGTTGCCAATACAAAAATTGGCAAGCAGAAGTATGGAAATTGTTATGCATTGCTAACGATTAAAATCATTAACTTACGATAAGATTATAAGAATCTCATCTTTTGGCTACTACAGCTTCTAAATTTAGTGCTTAATACTTAATTTGCAATCTAGATGTAGGTCCCACTCTTTTTGACAGGTGACATTGACTATCCCATATGGCTAAGAAGATGCTTCAACCAATTTTCACCAAAAATTGAAAAAGGGAAACTGCTCCCGAGACCGACAAGGTTCTAATTTCCACCATATCTTTTTAATTTCAACTACAAAAGCACTAAAATCCTATTAATACAGCCACAGATGTATGCCTAAAAAACGTATACAGCCATATAGTTATATTATACAGCCATATGTATGTATGAGTGTTTAACCTGTAAAGCCATGTATAGCCATCGGCCAGGGAATGGAAGTGTGTGTAATCACATGTCTCCAGAAAACAGGGAGCAGGCGTAAAATTTTTGGACTACAGGAGTCAGAAACTGGTCAAACAAGAGACTGTTCATCAATAACCCAGATAAAAGATCTTTTTATAAATCATTTGCAATGTTGACATGTTATTATATTAAACACAAAAACAAAGGAAATATATAACATTATCAATGACCCGTCTTTCCCCTCACATACTGATCTAAAGGATGTATGAATTATATGTACAAAAATCAAAGTGACATGTACCAGGAAATATTGACAGAAACAAAACTTACCAAACAAGAGCACAGATCTCACTTATAATCGCGATTAATGTCAGCACCTTGCTATGTATCTGCATAACATGACAGCGAGCAAGTAGAACGTGTTCAGAAGTAAGCTGAAGCAACAGGGCTAAAACTACGAAACTTTAATGCTTTAGTTAAGATGGCATAAACAACTTACCCAGAGTGCACAGAGGAGAGCAAGAATGACACTGCCAACATATACAGCCGTTGCATAAATGCGTACTGGATCAAGCATCATTCTTGCTTGTTGTACTGGCCCAATTAGGAAGGCTGTGCTGCCACATGATGGTGTTTGGCATGAAATTTGAGGTGAATGAACAATGAAAAAGAAAGGGAGGAAGAGTAACACTAAAATAGAATTAGAAATCCCATATTTGTAAACCCACCTCCCTACTGCCAGTATATTTCCAAAAGTGAACATTATGGCAAATTTGATGGGCTTGTAGAAAACAATAAGTGACTGCAAAAGAAGATAAATAGATTATCAGCATATGTCAACGAGCAAGATTCTCATTATCGCATTAAACGGAACCATCGAGCTCTACACGTACCAAGAACCACATTGTAAAGACCAGATATCAAGTCATGCACTTTCTATACAACACCAAAATTATCTTTGGCCGAAACCACGTAAAACAAAATTCTTGAAGTGCAATATCCAAAATGCTTTTTCTTCTCCTTTCTTGGTACCAAGTACAGAGAGAATTCACAATCAAAAGGTTATATCTCTAGTACAAACAAGATCTTCACAATCTAAAGGAGAACAATCAAGAAACAGTGATAGGAAGGATATCGTCGACCAATCACCATGCGACACGTGTCCTCCGAGTGGCATCCAAGCTGGGAGAATGCGACAAAAGTTGCCCCTCATTGGTTTGCCAACGTGGACGTGGATCCAAAGCAGGCAATTTTAGGTTGTCTTTATCCTTGTCGCCTATGTGGACAAAAGGCTAGATTGAGATTGTTAAAGGTTGTTAAAGGGTGCCCCTCGGAGAATATTCTAAAAAATATTTTATCCATTCACTACCAGATATAAAAGCTAACTTTTAATATAACAATGGATGGGGAGGATCACTTTTTATTGGGGGTTATGACACTCACCTATATCAGGTTACTAATTTGGGTGTCAGAGAGACCAGGTCGGGAAACTTCTCCTGATCTCAATCTTCGTATAGTTGGCACTTTAGGAGCTCGACATTTCCAATGCGAAAGCAACTCGACCATACTTCGGACATCTCTACGCACGTACGCACACAGGTCAGAGCCACTTTGGGCTGACCAAGATATCAACGACAACTTCTCATAACAAACGGTAGCATGCAGGATATTTTAATAATGATAAGGTCCTGCCAAGAAATATCTGCGCTAGTTTAGAACAAAATGTCACTGTCCTTCACAATCACAAGGATGCTGATATGTGGAAAGAAAACCGTTTCAGAACATACAAAATTTCTCTGTTCTTCACAACCACAAGGATGACGATATGAGGAAAGAAAACCTTTCAAGAACATGTTTAATACTCATAGGGTTGCAAGTATGGAGTAAATTGACATCAACATAAGATGTGATTCTTTTCGAACAAATGGCTCGTGTGGTTTGGAATACAAGAACTTCTAAACGTTAAATAAACATAAAACGGAGCGACGAATGTTTGCATTCTTGATTGACCAAACAACATTAGGCTTATCAAAACCCCAGCAAATCACAAGACACTGAGAAATAAGATGAAATGAAAAGAAGAAAGAAACATCCTTTTATATCAAGAACGAAAATGCCACACAAGAACTGGAAAGATTGACAAGAAAGAAATGCTCGCATCATACCAGGAGCATAAAAGCGAGGCCGACGACCAGAGACGCCGCGAACCCATACAACCTCTGGCGCAACGAAGCAAGAAGACCGAATCAACATCAAGAACAAAGAAAGCATCCGCGATTGATTAACAAAAAATGGTCAAAAGAATGGAGGACCTGCAGAGGAGAGAGCGAGCAGGAGTCATCATCAAATTCGCCCAACGGGTCCTCTTCCTGGTCCTGACCGCCACCGAGAAGGGATTGTGGGAGCCATTTGAACCTCTCCATCCTCCGATGGCTACCTCTGCGAGAAGAGAGATCGCGCGAACTATCATTCCATCCTCCCCCGATCGATCGGATAGAAAGGAGAGGGAGGGTTTTTCCTGTTTCCTTTAGGCGGTCCCCTATCTCGCGGAAGAAATTGAGGTTAGCGTGTGCCGCCGCAGAAGAAAATTTGTTATCGGACCATAATTTTTTTTATTAGTGGGTGAGATCCGCAAAGGATCCGAATCCAATAATCTTATGAATCCAAAAATAAAGAACCCACATCTGAAATTTTGGAATAAATTAAAGGGTCCTGTGTTTTGGGCTACCAATTAACACTGTTTATTATTACCATTAATAATCACAATCATATATATATATATATTTGTTAAAGGAGCTTTTAGGAATCACCTCCTTCAGGTTTTCAACAGAGATCCCAAGCTGAGAGCACTATGCCAAAGTAAATCCCTTAGAAAACGAAATATACACTATAGTTTGCTTCGGATTACATGAGAGTCAACACATATAATTAAAAAAAACAACAAAAGAGAGATCTTGCTTTGTGCAAGGAAAAAAAAATTGACAGAAAAAGATCTTGCTCTCAGAACAACTCTTTCTTATTACAGTTGCTTGGGAGCTCCTGTTGTATTGTCGTGGTGCCAACTCTTTTTAACTTTGTTGGCCGTCCTTGAATATGTTTTGCATGGTTCCAACACCATCAATCATGCGCAAGACGTTGATCCCAAAGCTTCAATTTCTCAGCATCATCGCATTCGTCGTCGTCTGTTGCTTCCTCTTCTGTGTTCCAAGATTTGCACTGCCACGCTTGTTGAACCAACTATTATTATCTCATGCCAGCTCTGGTGAAGAAAAGTTGATGATCCTAAACGCTTGTTCAACATGCATGTTTCTTCTTCTCATGAAGGCTGAGAGATCAAACTATTGCCTTTCTTTCAACAGAAACCCATAAAAAGAGTGATCGATTAGTTCTCAGATAAGAATCTATCATAGTAAAATATCTAATAACACTAGAGGTGTCGATTCATAGCTGGTGAGACAGTGAAAGCCTATCATAATCAAAGGTTATGTACCTATATTTGTCAGAATGAGGAATGTGCTATATTAATACACCATATTTACCTTTATTAAAGTGACAAATATACATCTCAAATAGCCAAAACATATGAACTTGATTACAAGGTTTCTTCTAATGATAAAAGTAGTTGGTTAGCCATTTACTAATATTGGATGAAGGGTTTGGATGACAAATTATACCCACTTCCCAATAGCATAACATTGCTTTCCCACATGAAAATTAAGAAAAAAAATGTGGGGAAATTTGTTGGCTTCACTCTCGTGCGGTTCATGCATTGCTTGCCACTAATACCCTCTCCCTTCATTAACTGTTGAATACCTTTTGACATATAGAGAGTGGAGCCAATAATGGCGATTGATACACCTTTTATCATTATTTTATCCATTTTTTGTTTTCTACACAAATATACATGTCTAGAAGCAGAGTGTATGCTTAAAGTTAATATTGCTGAATACTTCAATGATTCAATGATAAGCTCTAATTAAACTGAAAAGAACAAGAAAAAAGGTGGAAACAAAATATAAACCCAAGGATTCCTAACATGGAAAAGATAATCAAAATCATGATATACAATTACCTAATTCATAAATCCCCGACAGTTTGGAGCTTTGCAGAGGCAGGGAACTTTACATTCCTCAGCTTCATCAGGATCAAACAAATAATCATACCTAGAAAAGAAGGACGTGTGGTCAACTTAATTTGCCCATGAACAAGAAGTTCAATAATCTGCTTGAAAATATAAGAATCAAAACCTTTCTTGTAGAATTAACAATGTAAAGCATTTGATGAACATAACAAATCCAGAATTCAGATTTACAATGAGAAAGGCAATGCAAATATATGCTAATAAAAGACATGACAATCAAAGTGAATACAAATGTATGGTAACGATGCCAAGTCTCCCAAGGTGTGAATCAAAACTTGCAAAGGTTCATGTTTACTCAAAGATCGTCACAGTGCACAAGGCTTGATCTCCCACCAATGAGGTATATGGAGAGCAAATGCATGCAGCCTTTCGCTCACAAGCAAAGATGTAAATGATCTTACAATTTCTACCGGCCAAGTGATATGCACAAGGAAAAAGAGGATATACTGAAGATGTGATTCGCTTTTTCATATTTAACTGTGTTGGGACATTACTGCTCTTTGGTGGTGTTGTTATTTATCCATAACCATTTTTTCTAGAAACCAATACTGAAAGGACATGGAACAATTTTAAAAAATTACAATTAAACTTTATTAAGTTCCATTGCTTCAGGATTCAGTGTAAACCAACATTACAGTGGATGAAACAGTAGAAGAAAATTTTCAAAATTAAAATTAAAGATAGAAGTGTTAAATGGAAGTACGTTAACTCCTCTCCTGCAGAAACATTCCTCTTAGCTATAAGAACGACTCGACTCTGATCGTCACCAACATTCATTATCCTTGCATAGCAGTTAGGCATGCACTGCATCAACAGCCATTAAGATTTCAGAATAGCGGCAAACACTAACCTGTGGTATGTTCTACTATGACGGCTAATATAGAAAAGAGAATGTTGATGACTTACAGAGTGGTTTATGAGGCGAGCTATATTTCCTTTATCTGTAGCATCAACCACTACTTCTTCACTTATTTTGAACAGCTGCAGACAAAATTTAACAAAGTAAATCACTTAAAGACAACTTCAGTGTTGACAAAGAAAAGAATGAGAAAAGAAAGATCCATCATGGTAACTGCCAAATAGACAATTGACGATAGAAAAGAAAGGATCCAGTTAACATTCATTGATCATAAGATGCTGCTGGTTGACAAAATAATCATTCACCACAAGAATGAGATTACTATTAAAGTGTATTAAACATCAGCACAAAATCGAGGTTCTTTGCTAAGGATACTGTTGTACAGGATACAAAAACATTCTGCATCTCAACTGCAAAACTACCATTTCAAACTACACTCAACTATGTAACTAAATTTGTCAATCAGATATCTATAATTCCAAACAAGGTTTGGAATACTGCCTAGTATAATTCGGTAAAGGTATTTACCGGTCCGATAGTCCACCAGCATGTGGAGCAAGGAACACCAGACGATAAGTCTGGTACAAGACCTGTATTGCCTATTACACCCAGTACAGAACCTGTATCAGATGGTAACTTTTTTGTTTTAACATTTCCAGAACTTGATATGTACCAGTAATACCAACACATTTTCAGTCAAAACCAGGGCTGATATGAGTCCAATACGTGAAACTAAAAACCTTGATTCCAAATGTACTTTTTGTTAAATATATATATTGCACTAGATTATCTTCAAGGATACTTAAAAATGATATAAAGTCAGGGAGCATGTTATGAACTCACATAAAGATTAAATGCTTTGAAATAAGAGTGATCCAATATGCTTGTCTAGTCATTACGATATACTCAAAACTTGAAAGAAGAGCAATCCATTAAAGTACTCACCTTTCAGTGATATACTAGACAGACAGGAAAAAAGACCTTTTCTCGTGATAAATAAACTATAAAGACACTAATGCCATCACCTGAGAATACCTAACATAGCACACTGATACCTATAATGAATCCTAGACTTGTCAAGTCCTATTTTCCTATTTCAATATTCATGTTGACATACACATGGCCATATTCTTAGCTTGCCTCGTACCCATTAGTCAAGAAATCCAAATTTAATCTTCAGTCACCTGAACAAAAATATGCCCCTTCTCCAAAGGAACTACCAACTTCTGTGCTCTTTATTTCAGAAATCACAGCAAACAAATTTACTTAGTTTACAGGTATAGCAAACTATACAAATAACTTTGGTTCTCTTGAATATCTGAAACATTATACTATATTTAAAGAGAACAAGTAAGAATAGGAATTACATAGCAATCCTTTTTTTCCACTTGATAACGTGCTTCTCGTAGATCTGCGACACTGCGTCTGACCTGCTCCCCACGGTACTCTATAACCTGAATAAAAGTTCAGGATTGTCAGTTCAAACTCTGAAAACCAAAGGCCCGAACACAATATAATATAATATAGCACATTGACCATCAAGTGATAATATAATATAAGTGTCACTTATGGTCTCCCAAGAGATATTGACCCTCGAGTTCCACTTAATGTTTTTCATACAAGTCAATGCCACTTCAAAAAAAAAAAAAAAAAGAACTTATGAACACGATGAAATAATACTTCACGAAATTTCAAAACCTTTATCACTCCTATAGGAACTGTAAGGTTATGCCAAATTGTATAAAGGAATATCATGGTGGTCATGACAACATAACTACACAAGAAACACAAGATTTTGCCTTCTATGACATTAGTCGTACTTTGCATAAACTACTTATGCTCGGAAACTACCTAAATTGGATCAGCAAACTTGACTTTTGTTTTAGGAACTCAAAAGGTGTGTTTTGATTAACGATAACAAAACTCAAATACATAACAAGGTAGAATGTGAAATGCGCAAGTTGATGAAATCATCCACACAAAATCAACCTACAAGTTTACCCAAAGGCGTTTGCAAGCACTATGAAGCTAGAGCATTCAAACAATCGAGTCACCTGAGACATCCCCCTTCCAGACTATATTACAACCATTTCCCACCGCTAATTTTGAATTCCAGCAGTGATCACGAAAGCTTCAGAATTGAAGCTAACATCATTTTGAACTATTAATTGAGCCTGAATGATAAGTCAAACATGCAAACAAGCAGTATAACAAATTGCATGTCATAATCTTACAACTATTGTATTATAAAATCCACTCCATAAGTACATTGTAGCAAGGAATAGTACCATTTCTCCTTCTTGAAGGTTTTTATGAGCAAAGAGGCCCCATCCATGTATTCCGGATTTACCAAAACAGACCCTACTTTTTTCGGTTGACTGGATACAGAGTCAAGTAAAACTGATGAGTTACAGAAGAGCAGAAATATGCAAAAAGGCTACCGGGACAGCAAATAACCTGTAAGTAACGAAGACGCTCTCTAAATGTAGAAAACGATCTCTGATTCTTCTCTTCCTGTTTCAAATGCAGAGCAAAAGAAACTAAATCACCTGTTGAGTATGGTCTGGAGGCTTTATAAGAAAAAAAACAACAAACTAAGCTTTTAAAAAAGATAATTACCATAGGTGCATTTAAACTTTCAATGGAATCCCAAGAATGATGACAAGGCCCCATAATTCGATGTGCAATGCCATTTTCTCTTTGATGCTACAAAAAAGTTTACGTGTCTAAGAATAACAACAGTAGGATTAAGGATGATTCTGCAGTCATATGCCATAATTTGATCTTTTTTTTCAACATTGCAGAAGAAACTAAATAGTGCACAAATGATAGCAAGTCGAGAACATGCTATTATATCTGTGTTAGCATACTCATCAGAGATCATGATGATAGATTCTACCTCCATTTCTCAAATTAAACAAGTATCTAAAACCAAAGGCATAACCCTGCAGCAAAAAATAAGGATCCTGCCATACCTTTGTTGTTTTTCTGTTGTAAATTAAACATCTTGAAGCAGATAAAGATCGAGTAGGCAGAGAAGGCATGGTTATCTCCTGAGGTATATCTGTCCTAATTAGTCTCGAACCACTCTGCTTTTTCATCTTTTGCAGCAAACTGTTGGTAGAGAAAACCCCTGAAGGGGTCTGCATAATTAGCACAGTCTCAGGATCTGGAGACCTACAAAGAAACCAAGGTCAATTATCTTTCTGAATTTCCTATTCCATGCAACTAGGAGGCAGAGCTAATGTGCATGCCCATATATATGACAGAAGAAACACGCAACATTACAAGTGCTGCAATGTTAAAACTTAAAAGTAAAAGAAAGCATCCAAATAGGTGGCTTAACACCATGTCAATCAACAGAATGGAAAAACATCAACTAGAAAAAATTTACAGGATTATAAGAAAGCTATTACAGGTTAATAAAAACAACTTTTACCTGTGATGTGCACAATAAGAAACCATTTTTATTATTTGTCTCCCATTCTTTTCCAAGCAATGCAACTGCAAATGTAAAAGGATGTTAAGTTGTATAATAATATTTCCCCAACTTAGTACACTAAGAGCATTAAGGATGAATGAGAATATCTGTTTATACCACCAAGCATGATATAAGTCTTTCAAATAATCCAAAAGCAGAACAATGTTGCTGATGCAAATTTATGATGAAACACTACCAGAAAGCCACACAAAAATGTTTTTGCAAAGCCATTTCACAAGCAACAAATACTTATGCAACTTGTACAACGGCAACTGAAGCAAAAAATGTAAGTAGTTCCTGAAGCTTTTTTTATCCCTTCACAAAGTGGGTAAACAATACAAACGTCACTTCAAATCATATAATACATGTTCGTCAAGCACAAGATTATAAAAGAATAAACAAAAAAAATTAGCAACTACTCTGTGTTCATGGCATGGCTATCTTTCCAGATCACATGATTCATCACAGTTTCATAGATTGAACACAGATCAAGGAGACAAAGTATAAGTCCAAATAATATGACCTTCAATTTAATATTCAAAACACTGTTCAACTTTTACAACATAAAGCCTAGCGTAAAATCATTTACCTCCATTCTGTATCCAGCTCTTGATGCACACATTGCATGATAATAAGTGGAACATGTGTAGCATTGTGTGCAGGCACCATGCATCTGCTTACATATCACACAAACCTGATGGCACATTGAACACAAATCAGCAATTTAATGGTTAAAATACTATGTTTTTTACCAAAAATGTACAACTGCTATATTGTAACATATAAATTGACCAACAGGTAAAATCATTCACAGTTCAGCATGACCTTCATAAAAGATAGAGGTGGTATATCCAATATGCCAGTAGCAGGCTCCATTGTTTCATCACTGGCAAAAGATACCTTTGGCTGAAACCAAGCACACGTGACATGAACCCATAATGAATCATCAACATTTGTTGGCTTTAGAGCACCACCTGTGGCAAAAACTAGTGACGTTACAAACATCCTGTTTACCAAAAGCATAAGGTTGCAGCATCATCATGTGCATTTAAATTGAAGGTTAATCAGGTGAATGAACAATAAACACAAGCATCTTAAATGAGGTTTGTAACAGTTTAAATTGATGGGTTAGACAAAATGCCAAATGTATCCAATATCTAGTGTCACCCAGGTTGCAGTGCTACTGGAATTAAAAAAAACATAATATGCAAAATAACTAAAGAGACAAGTGATTATTCCAGGATGCATTCATTTTACCTTCTACAGGGCAAAGGCAGCATTCCCTTTTAAGCAGGGGTGTTTCACAAGCTCTGCAAACCCACGAGGTAAAATTTTGTACATCAAGTGCTCCATAACATTCCTGGTGCACAGCTATTTGACATCTGTAGAATACGAGGATTAACTGTAAACTATCTGCAAGTATCAAAGTTGACAATTATTCTTTGTAAAAATGAACCAGAACTTGTTCCTTAGCCCCTTCGGATCTTTACTCCAAAAAAATCACTAGGATGCGGACCAGATGGAAGAAAAGATACCAGACCTGTTGCATATGATGATTTTATTGTAATCCCAATCTTCGATCCATCTGCAAATTGCACATCGCTCTGTTGTCCATTTAACAAGAACCGGTTCATATGGTTCTGACACAAAAAAACAAAAAACGTTTCCATCAGTTCTGCTAAGATCAATAAGGGGCCATAAAAGAGCTGCCAAATCAGATGATAAATAGCATTCAGAAAAATAGCGTACCTTGCAACAAACTAAGAATCTTTTCTTTTCTATTACCCGCTGATGAGTGTTTAGCTTGGTCACCAAAAGATGGATTATATAATTCTAGCTGCATTCACCAAAGGAAAATTTATAAATCAAAGCCGATAATTAATTTAAAATTACATAAGCAGGTGTCATCAGATGTTACATATTTGTATGAGGAGATACTGAAAATTAATCATAGATTTATCAGAAGAATGGATCAATGTGCAACGGTTGAGCATATGAATGAATAAATACTACTAAGATTAGGCATTAAACATGTTTTCAGAATATTTTACTATCATATTATATCCAATTACTATTATCATGGATCCAGATTAGCTAAGCAAGCAAAAGGATAATAATTTAAATATACGTGTACAATATAGTTTATAATACATAGTTACATACCCATTTCCCCAATGGCTGCCTTGTACTCTTGACTTTAACACTAGTCTTCCAGTATTTCTTTCTAGAACCCGTATGTCGCTCCCACTCATTAAGCGTTAGTTTCCGTGCCTTACAGGAGCTGCACTGACATAAAACCCTGTAATATAAAAATGATTGTTAATAACTGATCAATTAAACTAGTAAAATTAAAATAGATTGCATATCAATTTTAAAAAAATATTCAAAAGATTCATCCAACTCATCTTTATCACCTAACACACACACTAATCAGTAAGAGAAAAGCCATAGCTACTACCTTGCATGTGTCATCTCTGTCTTATAGATCCATTTTTGCAGTTCAACAACAATTTGCCAAAGGAAGCACATAACCATCTCTTATGACTACTTTTATCTAATTCTAATTTGCCTATTCATCCACTTCTTCAGCACAAGTTAGGGCTCTGCCAACTTCAAGGATGAATAACAAATTTATCTTTTAAGCAATAAATTTAAATCTAGCCTATTCAGTTCTAATGTTAATGATCCTCTAGAGATGTGTAACGAGTCAGACTATTGCAGATATTTGGGTGGAAAGCAGCCAAAATGTTGTAAAAGGATCAGCATGTAATATGTAGCAGAAGTTCATAATCAGTTAATCCTGCTTAAACTCATAGTCCTGTTCCACTAGGCTAACAAACAGCTCAGCATCAAGGCCATGCCACTGGATAACTCAAGAGTCCAGACTGACTTTCGCGAACTGCATCAACATCCAAGCTCTTGCCAATGTTCAAACATCCCCCATTAGAAATGGTTCTTTAGTAGTTCAAAACATATAATAGCAAATGAACAACGAAGAAATATGAATTTCATGTCAGTTTACCAACTAAAACCTCAAGTTCTCAAAACAATCAGAAAATAATTGTTTCTAAAACTCAAAATAAACAAAATCACCAAGCATTAGAAGTTCAAAAAAATTTAATAAACAGGTATCAAATTAGTAAATAGATGGAAGGTGCAAGGTGAAATAAAAGATGTGTCAATTAGTTAAGTCACACATAATACATCATTCTACCACAACATAAAAGACAAAATGCTTACATATGTTCGTTTGGCAAATATATTCCTTCCATATCACAACATATCACAGTTATCTTGTCAGGCTGCTTGTCTTGGGAAATGCCACCATCATACCTACAGAGAAAATTACAATTTATTCTGCAGGCAAAGCAAGTCTGCAAAATCACATGTTTTGGGATATATAAGAAAATTAATAGATTACCTAACTGGGGCATGTTTCTTAATTGTATCTTGTGGTCCAAAATTACGCCTAGACTTGCAATCAGGGCAGAAATAATCAGTGTTCTCCAGATCCTTGATAATGAAAGAATGTCAGTAAGTTAAAATCAATCTTGACAAAAAGTGTGCAACACACCTTATACTGTTATTAATCTAATGATATTTGAGAAACCAAATTTGAAAGAAAAACATACCTTTAAGTTGCCACAATTCTTGTCACATTCAACATGAACCCAAACTTGACACCCATCACAACAAACCTAGTTTGAAAGTTCAGATAATTGATAACATATCCAACTATGGCAAATGATCAAATATTGTAATTTATGAGGAGGATATTCATACCCAATTCCCACCATCCGTGTGATGCCATATCTTCTTGCAAATGCCACAATATTGTTTTGACTTTAAAAGCTGTGGAAAACCAATGCAACTCTAAAAAACCTACTAATTGTTCAAAGAAAACACCACACATAAACTATAAAAAAACATAGTGAATTTCAAACAGCAGTTGTCATTCATCAGAAATAATACAAACCTTAGCACAATGTTTACAAAGCAACTGCTGTGAAATGTGCTTCATCTTCTTTGCACTTCCATATGGAAGTTTTAACCCACAACTTTCACAAAGCAGGCCTGATTTGTCTACAGCCTGAAAATCATATTAGAACAAGTTTAGCCCTCAGAACATAAGCTAGAACTCAGTACACGCCACATGTATGTTACAGTTGTCACTTTATTATTTTTAGGAAAATAAAACAGAATGCTACAGAGAACATCAGAGATGAATAAAATTAGGCATTGACACTTCAGGCAGTAAAACAGGGACTCAAATATAGCTAATTTAGAAAAGCTGAAAGAGCAACTTATAAGGTGTCTGGAAAAATCAACTTAAAAGGGAAATTAATTCGATTTTTCTGAATCAAAGCCACAAATCAAATATTCGCACAAAATAAGAAGTTCTCAATAGTTAATAACAAGATCACCTCTTAACTGTATTTATAAACTAAACATTAACCATTGAAATAACCAAATATGATAGCAGCAATACAACAGGATCTTGAACTGAAGCAAGGTGGCAATACAGAAAATTTGCAAATATACATTGTTTTAGCTATTGAAACCTTTCAAAGAAATTTTAGTCTCATGGTTCAACAATATACATGATTGAACTGGTACATAATGGGCAATGCACTAAATATACCAACAATAGCAACAAGCCATAATGTCCCAACTATTTGGGGTAGGCAATGCACCCAATATACAGCAACATAAATAAATAAATAAATATATATATATATATATATATATATATATATGATTAAACATCTTACAATGAATCTATAACTTGGAAGCAAAATATGACAGAATGCCCTAGAATGTTCCACATGGTCACTATAGTTTTAAGTTTTAACCCTTGTAGGTTAAATAAGTTCGTTAGCTAAACCAAACTCAAATTAAGATCCAAACCATTTGGTTGTGAGCTAAGCAGACAAGATAATAAGCTAAAAGTTCAAAATTTTCCCTAGCTGATGTAAATAAACCAAGATTCAGGTTCTCCCCTAGCTAACCTATGTCAAACTACAAAACACTCAGGTTCAGTTGAGTCAGTCAAGAAGCAGAAAGTTTTGGAACACTTTAATTTGAAGAGTCCATAGAATTTTGAATAGCCTAGGCAGCATGATGAAAAAGAAAACCAACTTTTATTAGACTAAAAAAATAATCTCATCAATTACTTTCATATATCAATCAAAATCAATAAGGTAATCTCTACATAGAGTCAACAACAAATTTACGTAAGTTGGAATATCCAATTTAACAAATATGCTTAATACAAAATCACACATATGTCATCATAAGGCTCACAACCATGAAAGTTTTTAAATAAATTAAAAAAAACTTTACAGAAAAAAAGAATAATTGCTGCAGTAAACAATCAAAGTATGATTTCTAAAACTCATCAATAAACTATGGTACTATTATAGTTAACAAAAGTATATATGCATAGAACCATACGGCCTCGATGATTTTGGTCTTACCTGAAATTTCGATTGGCATTCTTGGTCATGATTTGAATCGGTAACCTCACTGGATATTTTAGCAACAGGTTGATCAAAAGCAACACGACCACAAGTATTAACTGAATCCAACTGAACTCCAAAGAATCCATGCTCAGCTAAAAATGCCTCCTCAATTGCCATCCGGAAATTGCTAGGTTTGTTCTTATATAACTGAGTTTGGCCTTGAAATCTGAAGAAAGAGCCATATCAAGTATCAAGAGAAAGTCATTCCAAAAATTTCCTCAAAGAAACATTGTTCAAGAAAAGAAATTCTTCTTTAATTTTCCATAGTTTAGACCTGTCTAGATAGTCTATGAATGGAAAAATCATCCCCTGCTTCACCCATGAATATGCCTGCCAGCATAAAGTGATTACTATGATTCAGAACCAGTTACAGAACAAATAAAGAAAAACACTAGCAATGAAACAAAAATATGGAAGGTGAGAACACTAAGATCATTTACCCTTCCATTTCTGGAGTATCCAAAAAACATAACACAAAGAGCTCCAGGGACACATGAATTTAGAACATTTTCAGGAGCTTGCTGCAGAGGATCAATCACCATTGCTGGCCAAGCAGGATTCTTCTTTCCGCACTTTGCCCAAACTATATCACCTAAAACAAAATCCTCTGGACAGTAACAGTCCTCCCTCCTCTCCACAGTATCCCTTAGTGAATTTGACTCAGCAACTGCCGAAATAGAATAACGAACCACTGATTCCTCCATATTGGGAGTCTGTTGCAGATACTTGTCTTCCGCTTCCACCATGCTGTCATCGAGGGATGTAAGAGTACTTCGTGAGGTAGAACAGTTGGTCGTGCTGAAATTTCTGCAAGATCGATAGCACTCCGCCCCTAACAATGTGAATGAATTGGTCACTGCTGCGCTAATTGCAGCACTTTTATAGTTAAGATTCTTCTTTTTATCCTCTCGAAGATTACCCTCGAAAAAGAATTCAGAATCCGACGCCTTGGACTTAGATTTCTCTTTCTTCCAGGGGTCAATGAGAACCGAGTTCCTGAACCGGGAAGGAAGCGCCTGCGAGCGCCCCCTGGAGGTCCGCACAACCGGAGCTGGCGTGACTGCAGGCTTCACTGACCCGTCCCTTCCCTTCCGCCGTTCCTCCAACACCACTTCGCTGGCACCGGAAAAAGACACCTCGGTGCACCAAGAGGGGGCCGCGGCGGCGGCGCCAAGAACCCTGTGCCTTAAGCCATCGGGAAGGTAGGGAATTCCGGCGCCGGAGAGATCCCCCAGCACCTCGAGCGGAAACGACCCGCCCCCATCCCTCTGCCGCTTCCGACGGCTCTCCTCCGCCGCCTCTCCGCCACCGTCGTCGGAAAAGGACGGCTCCTCCGCCTTGCAGCGCTTCAGGCTCGGCATTTGGCCCCTCAAACTCCGTTTAATGATCATCTCCCTTCGATCCCCAAAAACTGAAACCCTAATTCCGCAGTCAACCAACCCGAATCAAAGAAAGAAACCCTAATCCCCCAGAATTGATGACAAGTTCCCCAAAATAATCGGAGAAGAAACAAGACCCCAAGAATTGGGAAAGAAATATATCACGATGGACTCGAGACGCTCCCGAACTCTCCCCCGGTTCGATTGCCTCTCGATTCGAGACTTTGCGAAGCCTTTATTGGCCTCCAAACCGAATCCGAAGGGAAGAAGGAAACTTCGAAAGCGGAGATAGGAGGCGAGGCGAGGGTGCTCTTAACGACGCCACCAAGGCTACAACATATCTATATATCTTTTAACCGCAACGGAAAGATAACGGTCTCGATTGGATTCGTGCCGGTATAATGGATGGGCTTCGGGGAACCGGAAATTGGTATTTTGGATTATACCGCCATGGGGGCCTTTCGTTCCCCGTTACGGGCGGGAAAGCGAAAAGTGAGAGGGAGGGAGGGAGGGAAGGGGGAACAAATGGTGGAGGGAAGAGTCGATGGCGAAGTGGCTTCTATTTGGTGTTCGTTGACTCTTTATATTTGTTTGGCAATAAGGTAACCAAATCCACCTGAGAGCTATTATAACTGTTGATGCGGGAAGAGATGTGCTGATCCACACCGTGTTGTACTTGCATCGGCCTTGTAGTCGAGTTTGTAGACCGTAATAGAAAGTAAAAACTTTATAAGATTTCATTTAATTCTTAGAGTAGTTTTATTCTCATTTCACTTTCCCAAAATTAATTGTCTAATTTAATGTTGAGTAACAGATTGACAAGTGTGTTTCTTTTTTTTCACTTACTCCAGTCGGTATTTTTAGGACAAGAAATCTATACTGTTTAATTGAGATAAAAAGGAAAAGAAAAAAAGATCTGCCGTGGGTTGGCCCACGAGGCCCACCTGAAGAATTTGACCGGGCTCGAAACCAGCTCTGCTGGCAGGCGTGACACAGAGGAAAATAAAAAGCGGAAAGGAAGAGGAAGAGGAGGAAAATAGAAAAATGAAAGAAAAAAAAAGGGAGGAAAAAAGAGAAAATAATGATAATAATAAATATCAGACGTTTTTCAGCAGTCATATTTAAAAGCATTGTGATATTCCTATTTAGTGATAATTTCTGTATAAATGCCACTTTATAAATGTTTTTTTTATAAAGAAAAGAACGCTTCGAGTCTTGACTTGTCGCGCAAACAAGCAGAGTGCGGTGAGTATACCTCGACGGTTCGGAAGAAGAAGAAGAAGAAGAGGCGCAACGAGTAGTAGCGTCGACCGGAAAAGAGATGGAGGACGTCGTCACGGAGTCGCCGCCGCCCTCGAGGTTCTTCCAGGAAGACCTCGACAACTTCGCCACTCCACCGCCGCCTCTGCCCCCGCCGCTCCTCCTCCTGGACCCCAAACTCGGGCCGGACCACATCCGCCCTCCCCTCCTCATCGTCGCCCTCTCCGCCCCCTCCCTCGCCGTCCTTCATCGGATCCCTCACAAGATTCTCATCGGAACTCTAATCCTGCCGGAGACCCCCCTCGCCGGGAACTCCCTCGAGCCCTGCCCCCGCGACCGCTCTTGCTACATCTACGCTGTCGACCATCGGCCGGCGTCGGCGGTCCTCGTCGCCGTTCAGTTCCCGGTCGCCGCCGAGAGGGCCCGCGCCGTCGCGAAGTCGTTGCTTGGTGCGATCCAGGCGGAGAGGGTCTTGATCTTTGGTTCGATCGGGAGCCAGAACTACAGGGGGCGGTTGGCAGTGGACGAAACCCTAGCTTTTAAACTGGAGACGGTGGAGGAGAGAAGCGGTGGGCAGCCGCTGGTGCAGGGAGTGGATTACTTGCCGTCGGGAAGTGTGATGGATGGCCTCGGGGCGGCAGTTATCGCAGAGTGCCAGATGCGGAGGGCAAAGGGGACGCTGGTGGCAACATGGCCGGCGAATGGTCGATCTACTGTGGTGCCGATCATTAGGTCATTGTTGCAGGGCTTGAGCATCGATGTCGGTGCGTCTGATGCTGATGATGAGTTTGATGCTGGATGGTCGTTTTCTTCTCGATATGTGTCAGATTTGTATACCTGATGACGAGGTACCTGTTTCAGTTCATTGATCATAATTCCCTGTTTTTGAATTTCAAATTTTGTGCCTGTTTAGCTTCACACTTATATGTTTCAACCTACATTAATGTTAAAAGTGATCTTGAAACTGAACAAACAAGCAATTTCAACTTTGTAGTGTAGTGCCATATCATACTCCAAAAGGTCCATTTGAATATTCCAGGTCGATCGGTTACATGCATTAGCTGCTAAGGTAGGAGTGACGGTAAACTGACAGCTGGCTTACGTAAAACTGTATATATATTTGTTCTTTCACTTGACAAGCAATAATGGAATATCACAATGTTGAACGACAAGATGTTGCATACTGAAGTTCCATCGGCCTGGAGTAGCTATAACTTCAGAATCTTATGCCGTTTGAGGCTTACACAGGCATGCTTTGAGCATATCAGCTTGTTTCATGCTAGTAATTTGTTTATATTTGGATCACAGGTGATCAGCTTTTTATTTGTTAGTAATTTGTTTATATAAGAATAGCTGGCAGAGGTACAAAAGAAAACTCTTATGTAACCTCATGAGCACATTATAAAATAGGAAACATCGGTTTACACAAACAAATTTCTGTTCCCATCAACACAAGTCTATGACAAAAGTCATATACATGGTGGAACTGCTGTGCTGCTCCAATCTGTTGACATCCAATATTAGTGTGGATTCAATTCCATCTGTTGACCATCAATATAGTATTGTTGCTTTGGTATCTGTTAAATACATCAGCTGCCTGGTCTGTACGGGAAATTTTGAAACCTTGAAATTCCTGCGATCGGGAGATGCCATCTTTCTTCATATCATCTTGAAATTTTCAATCTTAAATGTTGAGGTTTCAGGCTTTACCGGATGAGGCGGTGTTCTCTGGTTGTTCTAACTGAAAGAGTAAACACTGGTGAAGCCAACATATCCTGATCCTCTTCTACAGAGTGATGATTGGTCCAACAAGCTAGAGTCATGAGAATTTTTTAGTTACATATTTTTGTAATAGTCTTAAGCCCTAAAAAACTACCTTGGCAGTGGTTTTCCACTACAACCGCACATCATCTTCTGCAATAGTTCAATCTGCAAAACTTTTTTTATCGGGGTATAATTGTCCCTCACTTTTTTACTGCCACCTATTGTGTCAGATACATTACTCGTGCCCAGCTAGTATTTTTTTGTTGCTTTTCTATACTTTCAACTGTTAAACAAACCAGAATTCATCATCTTGTTTTAGAATATATCTATTAACTCATTGTCTTCTCGGTCACTATACGTAACTTGTTGTCTTAGTTTGACAGATGCCTTTATGACATGTTTGGATAATGTGTTGTCCCACTTTCTCACATCATCAACATCTGATGCCTGATTTTGTGGCCATTCTTGCTTTTCATTACATCTTCATAGTACTTTGCTTTCAATTTAAAGTTCTGCACTATACATGTTATTTACTGACCAGAGATTGACACCTGAAATCCTTTATCCGTAGTCATCAACTCAAACCTATATTTCACTTTTTTGGAACCCTTTATTTAATCAAACAAATTCATCCTTAATGCAAGTTCATCATTTTTTTTCCTTGCACAAATTAAACTCTTTGAATTAACAAAGCATCATATCATCACGTTACTGCACAAGACATGTCGACCGGTTGAAGATACCATTTTACCGGGAACAATTTTGTGCTTGAAGTATTATGCCTACTTTATTTGGTATAATTTGGAATCAAATCACATTAATTACAGATGAAACTTTTTAAATCCTTGCTTAGTTTAGTTAGGGCTAGAACTAGATCAAATTTAATTCAGTTCTACGGCTGCTTTTTGTAGTCTGATTTTAAAGAATATATCTTATGTTATGTGTTCTACTAAAAATATAGACTTTTTTTAAGAATATTTATTTATGAGTTATCACAAGAGGGCACCTAAATATTTACATTAACAGCATCAGACTTATGCTGTGGCATGTATAACGTGTTAAGTATCTAATGGCATGCTGCTGTGTAACCCATGATATTACGTTGGAGCTTGCTGGCAATCATGCATGAGTAGCTTTTATGGTTTTTTTCCCTTTTGTATACCCTTGAAAGGCTTTAATCTTTTTTTCTTTTTCGCAAGTTCACATTAATGTTAACTCATGTTTGGCAACTGTCATGGTTTCCATGGCAAGTGGCAACTTTTATGGTTTCTAGAATGGAATATAGATCTGGATGGGATTCTTAGGATACGTACGTTTGGCCTGTTGTCTTATGGAACTGTTTGTTGGAAGTTAGCTTTGTATAAACTAGAGTTCTGGCAACTCAGGACCTTTGTCAGTAAAGTATCTGGAGCTTGCATGTTAGTTATCTGAAGCACAATAGTATTGTAATATAGTCTCATAGAAGTAACTATGTTTTTTGTTTATCATTGGTGAGTGAATTTTAGGCACTTGGTTAGAAAAACACTTGGCTGAAAGTCAACATAATGAGTCCGAGGTGGTTGACATAACTTCTGGTTCATATCATTTAAGCGCTAAGCTCCATGATCAAATGTCATTGTAGAGAAAGACATCCTTATTAACCCTGATACAATTAACTGCTTAATTTATTTTTATTTGTTTAAATGGAGAGAGTAGTGACCTTGCTGTTTTGCTTTGTCATTTTCCCTTTTTGTGCAGCTTTGTTTGTATAATTGTATATCCCAGTAGTAGCAGGATATGGTACTTTTTTTTTTTTACTGAACTAGAGATAATTAATTCTGCGCCTTGTTACATTGACTTGTTATGTACGCAAGACTGTTAGTGTAATTAATTCTTTTGAGGTCGATGTTTTCAACTGGAAAGAAGCAAGAATGTGCCACTGTTATTGTCATTTGCATTGTTTCAAAGCTACATCTAGTGGATATTCTTAACTTCTACTTTTGGTCTTTGTTTAGGCTGGGGGTTGATGCGGCTACAATCAATAGATTGCATGGTGTCATTGTAGCCTATTAGAAGATGGATCTGGAAGCATGCTGCAAGTACTATTGATTACATATAATCGAATGTATTAGTTTTTCTCGACATCTAAACTTAAGATTCTTATACATATTTTAAAACTTCGTTTTCTTAATTTGAGGGAATTTATAAGTCGAAACTTCAGTGGTTCTTTTGAAAAAAGTTTGGATATCGTATACTGACTGTTGGGGTTGATTGATTTTTGAAAGTGCTTTTGAACGGCAGTCAGTATGTCAGCTGCCGTGAGAGTTCCATCATTCTGGACCTCCAAGAAAAGCTTTTGCAAATGCCAGCAGTGGTTGGCTTGTTCTCCTACTGTTGTTATCAAAAGCCTTGTGGTTCAATGATCCTTGATGATGCTTTGTTTATCTTTGCTAGAAATCAAGATGGACACAACTAGGAATTGCACAAGGCAAGAGAACAAACATCATCATCGGCCATGGATGAGGTGGGAATGCAAGAATCATATATGGTACAACATTTGTTTTCTGCTTTTTGCTTTTCCTGTTGCTAGAGAGGGAAGGGAGGAGAAGTGTGAGAGTTGCAGGCCTCACCATAGCATCCTCCTGCCGCCAGAACCGGACTCTCTTTGGCAGTTGAAGTAGAGAGCGGCGACGGGGGAACCCAAATTGTAGAGCTCGGCGAAGTCCCTGGTGTTGAAGTTTTGGCGCCACCCAGGGGCGTACACCGTCTCCCGCCCCAGCTGCTGGAACAGAACCACCACGTATCGGTGAATCCCTAGCTGCGGCCGTGGCCTCTCATAGCACACGATCTCCTGCCCTGCACCCCATAAAAAAAATATCCTTCCTTTCATGCATCCATCTCATTAATTACTACATTTCTTCTAGTGATTAAGATTGGTCTCTTCTGGTTGACCACATCTTACCAAAGCTTGCTTCGGTCGTTGCAGGGATATCTGTGACCAACCTACAGTAGCAGCGACCCACATAACGATAGTGATGGAAGGCAAGTTAGCTTAAGCAGATATACTGGAGAAAGAAATAGATAGATGGATGGATAAAAGATACAGAAATAGAGCAGCAGCGGCAGGGCATGGAAGATGTGCTTACCAGTGCAAATATTCTCTAAGGGTTGGCTCGCTTGGACTAGGAGCATCTGGGTCTACCATGATCTGAAGAATACATGTGTAAACCGTAAAGATCTCTAGTCCAAAGATGAGCAGATAGCAATGAAACAACTAGCGACTTCGCTGGGTACATGGTTTGCATCTTTTAGATGAGAGAGGTAACTTACAAGCGTGTAGAAGATCCTGAGGTCAGTTCCTCCGACCTCTACTCTGGGCTGCTCAACCACAGCTGATGGCTTAAACTCGCATCCATTGGTGACCTCCCTGGAGTTGTATGTCACCCTGAGAGGTACGCTTCTCGTGAAGGGATCCAGAACATCCCCAATCACTCTACCAACAGTCAAAGAATCTCTTTGCATGACCTCTCTCTCTCTCTCTCGAGGTGCAAATGGTCAGAGAGAGAGAGAGGGAAGGAAGGATGAGAAGGAGAAGAGGGGAAAATTCTGAGCTCAAAAGTTCCAAGAAAGCCAATATATAGCAGCTCTTTTACAGGAATATTTCATACGACTCATTCAATCTTTCTACACTCACAAAGGAGCATCCTGGAGTGATCAAGAGGTGACAAACCTGAGAGAGAGAGAGAGAGAGAGAGAGAGACACTATTGGTTTGTGATACCATGAGCTTTAGACCTCCTGTAGGCACTGCGCCATGGACGTCTTCATCATTTCTTGTCTCCAGTGACCTTATGGTTGATGTGCGCAGATAGATGAAAAGAAGGGAACCATGGGAATCTTCAACCAATCGTACTGTCATTATCTCAGTGGCTGTCGAGTTCTCATTGGCCAAGTGGAGATTCATTTGAAGGATCAAAGGCCCACCTTGGCCGATGAAAATAAACAGACTTGTAAGCCGTGTAGTTGTCATTGGCCAGCACAAAATTTACTGTCGGGACAAGGCCAGACCAACCATGAGAACGTCAAGAACCATATATGTGCTTCATTCATTGGCTCGAACACTTTCGACCGATACCACTGTTCCAACAGCTCACACGGTACATGTTCTAATTCTGATTTATTTAGTTTCATATTCTTTCGATGGATATTTCATTTATATGTATGGTTACAACAAAAACTCATCATTTCCATATTCATTTATCTCCTTCCTTGTTTACGCATGCACAATTTCTCCTTTCGTTTCATCTTTTGTCGTCCATGCTTGATGGGCAAGAGACTTAATTGAATCCATGATTCAGTTTACGACAGATCAGAATCATGCATAAAGCATGTATAACATAGAAATCTCTCTCATGACGCATTGGGCTTACGGTCTTATAGATAATGTGCACGCACAAAAAAATTGGTTTTAATTCCTCCTTTCAATTGAGTGTCCAAAACGCTACCAATTAATTCATACTAATCCAGATAATGTATGATAAATCTGCTACTGTTTTCTCAGATGAGGGTTGAACGAGGGGATTCGCTCTGTCTGCTGTCTATATTTAATCAGACCAAGGGTGACATCTGATTACGATTGCTGGGTGCGTTTTGTTCTCGTATATAAAACACCATCTTGACGAGGATATCAAATTCCTTGCTGTTGTTCTACAAAGGGATCTGCTTTTATCTAATCCTTTCTTGACGCCCCATAATGTGGGTATCTGTAGCGGCCATGATTTGATCGGTCTAAAGAAGCCATGGAATAATAGCTGTTCAAGTAGAGGTATCAAATCAGATTGTTCTTCCACGTTTCCTTTATTTTTCATTTTTTTTATCCGTGCATTTATTATTATGTCACCATTAGACTCCTCGTTTTCTTCTTGCAATATTGTATTTTTTTTATAAATTTAAACATCAATCTCATGAGGGATTCGATAAACCCTATCTAAATTTTTAACAATATTAATATATCTCTATATATACCAAAAAAATTTATTTTAAACAATTATGTATCATTTCGATAGAGGATAAGATGAGAAAAAATTATATATGATAATATGGATATGTGCTGAGAAGATCTCCGAATATTAGTATTACGAATAGATGAGAGATAGAAGATCTCCTCATTTTCTTCTTGCAATATTA